TGTATTAAGATAGACTATTTATATATCTATTGTATATACGTCTTTGACTTATGTCCACAACTGGGACCAGAATTTCCACTGCTAAGCAAGGCAGTTGTTAACTGAGTTGCACCCTAGTTTATGATCTTTTTTGCTATGGTTGCTAAGGGAATCATGCAGTTATTAAGCGAATCGTGTGGTCATTAAAAGAATCTGACTTCCCCCATTGATTCTGCTGTTGGAAGTCGGCTGGGAAGGTTGCAAATGGCAATCATATGACCCCAAAGATGCTGCAACAGTCATAAATACATGCCAGTTGCCAAGCACCTAATTTTGATCATATGACCATGGGATGCTGCAATAATTTTAGATGCAAAAACCCGGTTGTGTGTCCCCTTTTTTCAGTGCTGTTGCAACTTTTAAAAATTCTAAATGGATTTATGCTGTTAATTGTACCACATCAGCATATTTTTTAAAATGTTTTTGCCTATGTAGAACTTAAATTAATTGTAACTCAGAAAGAGGTAAGTGTCTGCATAAAAATCATTGGTTATATTCCTTTAAAATAAATGAATGAATGCTTCTGGAATTTTTTATTAAAAGCCCCAAGGTCTTAGATGTTCTTAAGCTTTGTAAGGACCAAATTAGATGTATATCTACAACACATACAGTAGGTAGCAGGAAACACCCAACATGAACAGTTTTAATATATAATAATCAGTGGCCTTTGCACTGCTGATTTCAGGACTAGTGGGGAAATAAACAAGACAAACTAAACTACCTGCTATCATCCCAGAAGTGTGTATAATAAATGTACAAGGTGAAAATAGAGAGTGTTACTTTTGTAAACAAACAAACAAAAAAAACCCAATAAAGTTTTATTGCTATTGCTTGTTGAAAATACCGCTCATTTGTCTAAGACCTGAGTGAAAGAAACATTTTTTTTTTAAAAGCCTGTGTCTTTTTCTACCTGACTTCAGCAACAGCAGCAGAATTAATGCGGGTTGGAAGCTTAAGGATAGTGACAAATATTAAGGAAAAGCTTGAACAAACTGAGATACTTTTAATTTGGAAAAAATCAAGCAGATAATAAGAGTTATGACAAAGGAGTTAAACAATGAGTGGCAGAAAGATTCACATAAAATGTATTCATCTGTTCAGTGCCGTTTAAGCCAAAGGACTCAACTTTCCTCAGAACAAACTCAGATTCAATTCATCTCTGGAATACATTGGAAAGTTTCACCACTTAGGATATATTGCGTGTGCATTTTAATGTTAGACCAAGCAAATGAGCCCCTTCCATTGAAATGAAGAAGACTTTTGTGAGAAAGTGGTGCCTATTATTTAAGATATTTAAATTTAGTAGCTGGAGCAGCGAGGTTGTGCAGTGAGCCAGAACACAAAGTTGTGGTTGATCGGTTGGAGAGTGTTGGCTTCTATGTGAGGCAATCTGCACTGTGATTGGTTGCTGTGGCTGTGGAGGGGGAGTTTCCTTTTTTCCCCGCCTTTTTTTCTTTGGTGTCCTCTGTGTGCCCTGTGATTTACCTCATGATGCTCCCGTTTACCTGACTATCTTGTTTGCATCTAAATATAGATGTAAATTATATTTATTTATATAAAACTACAAGCTCATGTCAGCATCTCTGACGTCATTTGCACATCTACCACACAGTTCCTTTACATTCTTTCTGGCTTTGACCAATGATAGCAAAAAAACAACAACAACAAAAAAAAACCCTTCCCCAGTAAAAGCTTAGGTTCAGTATGGGGTCAGCACTTTGGAATTACCTCATATCTGGAATCTACTAATTTCATACATATTCCAGGGAAAAAAAAATCAGATTTCAGAAAGGAGTTCTTTATTTGCATTCAGTTTAATGAGGGAAAATTAAGTATAGCATTGAAATTAATGTGAGTTTGAAGAGAGTAAACATGCACTTTAAAACTAGGACATGTATTCAACATAACGAAAACACAACGATAGTAACTAAGCACTGGGAATGAACAATCATGAAAACCTATTGAGTCTATTTTAATAAGTTCATCTTATCTTATAAATAGCAACATTTCTGGGGAACAGAAACTTCCACCCGAAAACAAGCCAATTTAAAATAGATAAATCACTGTGCTACAGTGAAAGAGAAAGCTAAAAACAAAACATGGACATTAAAATGATATTTTATACAGTATATCTGGACACTGTCTCTAGGGTCTTATTAAAACTGATATGAAATCTGGTGCTTGTCAACTAAGAAGTAAATATTGAGTTGTAGGGAACTTACTTTGGGGATATAATGTAGCCAGTTGCAGCTTAATTTTTTGGTGGGGAGGAGAGTTGGAAAATTTTTATAAATTCATATTTAAAATCTTTTTTATTATCGTTCATCCTTCATATTAGATTACATTTTTACAGAGCAGTTGTAGCATTTCTGAAAAAAGAATGCTGAGAATCAAAACTTGATGGATCTCAAAATCAAAATGAAATCCCCAAACGGTTCAGAATTATCTTCATTGCTGCATTATCCAAATCCTATACAAGTTTGTCAAAAGCTTATTTCAGGCTTGTCTGACTAAATGCCGTTTGCACACTTATTAAGCCAGAGATCTAGCTGTCTTTCGTGGTTATACTTTAGTACATGCAGGCTTGAATAATACAGAAAGTAACTTGGTTTTCAGTAATTGTATCAATGGAGTTCCAGTTTGCATAGTTTTCTCCTCCCTTCCCCCCATTCTGAAAGAGTGCAATTACTTGGAGATTTAGTGCATTTGAAAAGAGGTATGTAGCAAGAAGCTCACAAGTTATCTTCAAGGCCAGAAGTTAAATTCATGTTACTTTAAAACAAGCAAAGACTCTTTTAGTTTTTCTGTGCCTCTATGTAGCAGGGGCTGATTTCAAAACCTGTCGCTACCGGTTCGCTTGTGGGTACGTGCGTGGTCATGAGCACATGCGAGAGCCTCCCGCCACTGCCGCTAGCGGTTCACCCGATCTGGGGCAAACCAGTAGCAACTCACCACTGCTATGTAGATATATGTTCCCCTTGTTTTCTCTCTCTCTGAGAGAGAAAGAGATTGGGGGTGGGGGGATCATGATAAATGTTATCTGTTTTATTATTTTATTTATTTTATTTTATTAAATTTCTATACCGCCCTCAGGGCGGTGAACAGCCAGAGAATAAAACACAGAGATACAAAATTTAAAATAGATTAAAACAAATTAAATCATTTAGGCTGAATTTTAAAATACCCCATAATTAAACAGATTAAAATTTGCGTTTAAAATTGTTTGTTGCCCATAAAACATCTTTTATGTTTTGTAAGAGACCTGTGTCAATTTTTATTTGCAATTCCCCCTAAAGTATGCAGAAAATCTTATTTGATGGTGTGTAAGAATAATCTTGATGGACAAGAGGAAAAAAATCTGCTTTAGGAATGATCAGATAACAGAGTCAGAAGCCCACAGTTGCTTAGCAGTCAGAGAAAGAAACATAGGAAGAACCCATCCAAATTGATCAGCTATAAAAAGAGACTGCAGGAAATTTATACTTTCAGATTTGCAAGCTTCTATTAATATATCTTTACAATAAAATAGAATTGGCTCATCTAGTCATATTTCCTGTCTGGTTAACCACGAGGACTGACAATTCACATACAACTTAAATTAATATGCACCATAATTAATTAGCGTACATGCAAAACTTTTGATAATAATGCAAATTTTCTTGGAGCTCTTGCATTACCTACTTTTACCCAATTTAGACTTTAACAGTCTAAATTGTATGCAATTCCATGTTTCTTTGTGCTTATTATTTTGTGCTAAATTGAAGGAAATTGAAGCCAATGGGGTTTGGTGACTTAACTGTTGGACAAGAAGCAGGAAGAGCTAAGGTCTAATATTCATTAGCCGCAATAGCTAACCGGGTGACTTTGCACCAGTCATTCTCTTTCACAATTACTCCTACCTCACATCATTTTTATGGGAAAATAGGTCCTGTACTTCACTTACAGAAGTGCTTACCAAATGAAAATATCAAGTGGCTAAATGTGTGTCTCAAACATAATTTTAGAGGACACTTTCAATTATATATGAGATGACATAGTGACGGAGTGGCAGAAGATGTGAGTCTTTCCATTGTTGTTGTTTTAACTATTCAGTTATGTCTGACTCTTGGTAACTTTATAGGCAAGTGCTCTCCATGCTACCTTGTCAAGCACAGCTTCCTTCAATTGTTTGATATTCAACTTTGTATCAGTTTTGATGTTATCAAGCCAGCATATTATTTGCTTGCCCCTTCTTTTTCCACTAATCATTCCTAGCATCATTGACTTCTCCAATGATTTTGCATGCATGACATGGCCAAAGGAAATCAGATGTAGTCTTGTGAATCCCATTACACTGTGAGTCCTCACATTACAATGTTCCAAAGACAAGTACAGTGGACTGATAAGTTGGCTTTTCTGGTTCCTTCAAGAAAGTAATCATAAGCCTCCCCATGCAATCATTCCTGATGAAGTCTCTTAACTTCTGGGAATAGCCTGATCTGCCATAAGGAAATTCCTTTCTGCACCTTTACCTAGGAGAAAGAAAATAGAAAAAGAATAGAGCTCCTTTGCTCACCAGCCTTGACTTTTCAGGAACTTAGCAGAGTGACTGGGATATATGAGATACAAGAGGATTATCTCCTTCATATCTTTCTCCCTCTTCACTACACTACAATAACCACTTGGGATGTGTTTCCCCACTTCACTACAGAAATCATTCCACTGACGAGATGCTTAATATATCCCTTTGTGGTAGTAGCCATGTCTGCCCCCTAATCTGGAGAAAGTTAGTGGTATTGCAGCCACCTGCTGAATTTACTGAATGCTTCTTGCAATTTTTAACATGATTAGGGGCTTCTAATCCTAGGGCTTAGCTTTGAATTTTACTTGCTGGACACAAGATCATTCTGAATTTAATTCCATATTTGCATTATTTATATGCTACTTTTCCAACAGGTTCCCTGAGGCAGTGAACTGTACATTTGCAATCATAACAATCCAGGAAATTGTGATTCTGAAAATCCACAACATAAATTTCATAATATAAAAAAAGAAACTGGAGCTGCTACTGGTTGCCCTAATACTAAATAGGTAAGATAACCTCCAGCTGGCTGAAATACTTGGGTGTCATTTAATATGGCTAGAGACATCTTGTAACTTCCATCAGATTCATTAAGCTGGAAATGAATTTGAAATTTAATCAGCATGGTCTACGTTGGTAGCAACATTATAAGTAAGTCTTCATCTGGAAGTGATTGTAAACTTAGCTGTTGTGTTCTATCAACTACATTCATTTTTGAGAGTCAGAAACAATGGCAAAAATCAACATTCAACATATTTGGTCATCAGTACCCTTCTGACACATTTCTTTGTTTACTAGGCAGAAAAGAAAGTACTTTCTAATAGGAGGTGGAATGACTTGTACCCATTTCTGAGTTTGGATTACATTGGTGAGTTTCTAGAAAATAAAAAATAAAAAGTTCAGTAGTTAGGCATTATGATAAAGAAGCATGAAAAAAAGTAAATTTATTGTACATCAAGCTCTAATAAATGTGTATATTTTACAATGCTATGCTATACATATTTACAATATCAGTTTATTTTTTCTAGCTCATAATAAAGAGAGTGTTTTTAAGCAGGATGATATATAATTTGAAAGTTCAGTTTTAACTGCTGATATCTGTAGGACTGTATTATATAGGAGAAAATAATATCTTACAAATAAAATGAGACACAAGTTAATTAACTCAACTCAATATATGATTTATAAATCCAAACTTAGCTTAAGGCCATGTATAAAATTTCAGCAAGTGGTATATTAAATCATTGTGTACACTATTTCTTATACCTTAACATCAGCAAGACATAATTGGATCTGTGCTTTGGAAAGCACCTTTAAAAATGATCTGTATCGTTGTTTCTGCATGTTGAGTTTGTATGTTTACTATAGTTTGTTGAAGCTGTGGCTCATGCATATATCTTGCTAATTAGCCTGAAATTTGTGATTGTCTATTATATCTATTAATTATTATACAATTATGTATAATGATTGATCTATAAAACAGTTGAGGCTTATGAATCAGAGTTTCTTCGTGCAAGGACTGACATCACAAACTTTTTTCTGCTGCTCCTTTGTGAATATATGAATAAGTGAGCAAATGGAAACTTGGTAAATTATTTTAATATATTATAATCTCTGCTGAAATAGAGCAGATTTACTAGAAGAAAATGCACAGTTCTCATCCACGACAAAAAGATACTGCATCTAATTATGCACAAACAGAACTGGGCTAGCACCCTATGTACAGCTGCTGTAAAAGAACTGTTGAACATTTTTAAAATATTATTTCAAAGGTTCTTTCATACAAGCCACTGGCTTTATTTTGCCTTCGTTATGCTATGTGTTTGTTATCCAATTGATTGATTATGTATCATCAGGTTGTTCTTGTTTCTTAGTGACCACATACATTATCTCCATCATGATCTTTCAGATCTTCCAATGGTGCATCAATTGCTTGTGTAACTCAGTTAATCCACTTCGTTGCTGGCCATCCTCTTCTTCTCTTTCCTTCAATTGTATTTATATAGAAAATATAAAATGATTGTTGACCATAGATAGTGAAAAAATTAGGGCCTGGGGAGGGAGGAATCACAGAAGCTGGGATATGAGAATGAATGAGAGTTCCTAACAATGCAGAACACCTCACTCTACAATGTAAAATCAATTTTGTGTGTGTGTGTGTTTGCTTTTTGCTTCCCCTAAAAGAGGTAGGGAAAATTATTATTCTTTCCAACCATAGTTCATTTGTTGTATGAAGTAGTTAACTATTGTTTACTCAGTTCAATAAATGGGAGCTGTTGCTTCCTACTCTCCTTATGTTTCAAATCTCTATGCTTTTAAGTTGCCCATTGCTCATTTAAGGTTGGGTGACATATTCACGTTATATGGATCGGCAAATTATGAAATATTAAACAGGACAGGGATTCATAAGGAACACAGACATGGGTCTTAAAGCTGCCTTCCACCATGCCTTGTAAAATAGAATGTCCAGCATGTCACAAACATTACTCCTATCAACCACCTTAAATGGTGGCAGGGAGAGGGATTTTATTTCTTGAAATTCTTTGTTTTTAATAAATATTACAGAGGATTTTGAATGTACAGTATTTTGATCGCCTGATCTGTAGTACAGTTACCTTTCTAAAGATATCATTAGAAATAATTTATGGGTTGAGTAACCTAAACGTAAGTAATGTGGTTAGAAAGAAAGTTGAACAACCACAAAATACATTGGTTATAACTATAATTGTTAATATTCTTCTTATCTTGAAGTAAACATATAATGTGACAGTGAGAAGAGATTTTTAGGTCCCCATTGTTCCTCCAGCTTACAAAAGACAAGCTTTTTTGTTTGAGCTGTGTATATGTGTGTATGTTTCAAACTCAGTTTCAAACTGAGCAATTAGAAACCAACCATATGTACTACAGTACACTATACTGTACTACATCCTTCAGGCCACAGAGTTGTTTATGTCATCCTCCTCCTCTTTTCACAGACTACATGTTGCAAGAATGCTTTGGCACTCAGCATCTCTGGTGTCCCAGTTGGTGAGTATGACTGGAAGCCAAGACTTCACCCTGCAGCATGTCTTATGTCAACAAACCACACACACACACACACACACACACAAATTAGGAATTGGGGAAGACCAAGAGATAGCAAACAACACACATATAAATATGCAAGCTGTTCAGGAGATCATCTCTAGATCTTGATATGCTACAATTTATTTGCTTCTTCCATGACCCATAGTATGTAAACACATGCTGTATGGTGCTATAATGATACAAGATTTTAGTACACAGGATACTATTCCTGTGTACTAGAAAGTAAATCCAATAGGATTTTAACATTTCAACAGATAGACAATCTCAAACTGTCATATAGATCCTCAATGACAGGAAATGAAAGGAAAGGAGGAAAAGGAAAGGAAAGGAGACTGAAATATCCCATTGAAAAAGAAAGAGAAATGATAGTGGTGCTGATAATGGTGATGGTATGCCTTGTTATTTTTTTTTTTTCAGAGAAATTAAGCTGCGGAGATGGAGTTCATTTAGAGGAAGCAGAAATAGTGCAGATATTTTTTTAAAAATGCTGTTTTAAAACCATTGGTTTATTTGGGCAGAAACTCCAAAAGTTGATGCTACCAAAATTGCAATATGTATTTAGAATGTGTGCTTAAAGGAAGCAATCCATATATCAATTTTTTAAAAGATTTTTTTAAACGTTAGCTGATTTATAAAGATCCCTAAGGATCAGTGGAAAGAGGCATTAAGGGTTCTGAACAAAGTGCATGGGAAAAAGGGCAATTGCCATAATGAAAGGAGTTGTAAAGTACATAGACATATGCCCACAGCAAGTGATGAGAGATATCATTATCAAACTACATCTATTTTCTGCAGGGCTGCTGATGGATTTCAGAGGACATGTAGCATAGCTGCTAAGTATGTGAACTAAAAAGTACTCTCTGACTTATTTTATAGCACTGCTGTCCAAACGTTTCCAAAAATATGCTTTGTAAATGTGCTTTTTCAAAAATCTTGTGCATCTGTCTACTTAGGAAACACTGTGAAGTGGTTGCAAATACACACGTGCACATACAGCTTTGAAATAGCCACCTGAGCCTTCCAAGGAATATGGTTGAGTCTGTATTATTGAGTCTGTCATCTGCACCTCTATAACTATCTGGTTTGGTTCTGCAACCCAACAAGGCAGACACAGACTTCAGAGGATAATTAGAACTGCAGAAAAAACAATTATGACCAACCTGCCTTCCATTGAGGACCTGTACACTGCATGAGTCAAAAGGAGGGCTGTGAAAATATTTACAGACTCCTCACATCCTGGACATAAACTGTTTCAACTCCTACTCTCAAAATGATGCTATAGAGCACTGCACACCAGAACGAGACACAAGAATAGTTTTTTCCCAAATGCCATCACTCTGCTAAACAAATAATTCCCTCAACATTGTCAAACTATTCACTAAGGCTGCATTACTAGTACTATTAATCTTCTCATCATTCCCACCACCCATCTCTTCCCACTTATGACTGCATGATTGTAACTTTGTTGCTTGTATCCTTACAATTCATATTGATATTGTTTCCTGATTGTTTATTTGTACCCTAAGACTATCATTAAGTATTGTACCTTATGATTGTTGATGAATGTATCTTTTCTTTTTATGTACACTAAGAGCATATGCACCAAAGACAAATTCCTTGTGTGTTCAATCACATTTGGCCAATAAAGAATTCTATTCTATTCTATTCTAGCCACCTGAGCCTTCCAAGGAATATGATTGTTTGAAAGGTAGTTCAAGAGAAAAGTCTAACTTGCACTAACACTGTTCCGGTAAAGGTAATGTTCAACTGTAAGGAGTGGTGCTCATCTCCATTTCTTAACCAAGGGAGCCAACGTTGTCTGAAGACATTTCCATGATCATTTGACCAGCATGACTATACGCCAAGGTACATATAATGCTGTTACCTTCCTACCAAAGTAGTACCTATTTATCTACTTCCATTTGCATGTTTTCAAATGCTAGGTTGGGAGAGCTAGGGAAATAATCACCACATCACACAAGGCTCGGGTCTTGAATCCAGTTGTCAGCTTTCCAGCTAACAAGCTCAGTATCTTTAAACACCGAGCCATCACACCCCCTTATTCTGTCCCATTAGCAAACAGATGTGTAATAAGAAGTGAATTTAGGGAGGTAATGCAGATGGAAAGTGATATAAAGAGCAGAATGATTAAATTCAATGGTGACACATTTGCTTTGCATGTAGAAGGTACCAACCTTTATTCTGTCTAACTCTATTTTTTTTAAAAAGATCAAGGTATGGTGTGTCTTTGGTATTTGTCACCAGATAGACTATATAAGATGTATAAAGGTATTTCTAACTGCTGCTGGAAATATGAAAATCATGAAATACATTTTTACCATGGAGTCCTTGGTGCTCTCTGAGCTTGGTTGTCCTTGGTAGTTCCTTGATTGAGCTGTTGTTTACTGCTTGATTGAACTACCAGCTCAGACAATCAGTCAAGAACTAAGCAATAACCTAATCAAGGAACTATCAGGGAGAAACCACACCCCAGCAGCACTGACAGGGAAACCTACTGTATATAAGCAGAGAGCAAACCCTACTTTGTTCTACCACTGAAGTGGTTACCTAGTCAGGTAATGAAATGTCTGCAATCAAACTAACAAGCTCAAAGTGCCAATAACGCCACAGTTTAACACTCATCTATGTATGTCCTCTTCTATTGATACATTTTATCATGCATGGAGAACTTGTGAGAAAGTGAAAAAAATGGAAATACTGTATATATGATGATCCATAGAATTTTAAAACTTAAAATTTATATGATGTATAATTTAGGAGAATGTAAATAGTAATGATTGTTTTTGTTACTGAAATAAAGATCAAAATCTCTTTTTAAATATTTTTTTTCTTCTCTTTTTTTATTTAGTTTTTTTAATTTTTTCATGTCTTTCTTTTTTCTAATTATTCCTTTATACTTTTAATGTTTTTACAAGGTTTTAATCTTGTAATTTTTTCTCAATAATATATATATAAAAGTAGAGATAGATAGATAGATAGATAGATAGATAGATAGATAGATAGATAGATAGATGATAGAATGAATGAAGTAAAAATGTTGTCTCCTAGGTTTTGCATAACAATTTACAGTCTGAGTAGCAAATCTTAAGTGTTTGCTAGAAGCTAGAATCATGTCTGTTGCTTCTCCCTTATCCTCACCAAATGTCAGTGTAAATAATACAGCGCTTGATGAACAAAAGGATTTTCTAAGAAACAGAAAACAGAAGTCATTAATTAAAACAAAAGGAAAGAAAGATGGTTGGATGTAGGCAGCAGGACATACTTCAACTTCTCCTGCTGTCCTCTTCTGGATTTCTTCAGCATCCTTGTCTAATCCATAATGACTCAAGCACAGTGCTAATTATATGAGTTTCTAGCATGCCACCAACTTCCTCCCACATGTGGTGGCCTTTGATTAAATTTGCCCATTAGTTTGAATAATCCTCGCTGATTATTTATAACAGACTAACAGCTCTTGCTCATTTGACAAAATGAACTTTTCAGAAAGGTGTATGTATAAACCTAAAACATATTTTTCGCTGTATTTTCACTAATTCTGGGTACTTTTTTCCCATTAAAATGATAAACTAAATATTTATGTAAAAACACTAGTATTAGTGAAATATTCTATATTTACAGTACATAAAACCAATCTCTCTCTACTACTCTCTAATGTTGGTATGTTCCAATATAGCTATTAAAAACTTATGTAACTGATAAAGATCATATTATTAATAGAATTGGAATTTGTAATGCTGGAATGCAGAAGTTTAAATATAGAGATAGATGATGTATATATGTGTGAATGTATGCCTTAGACAGAACTAGAACTCATGGGCTCTCAGTTTCTAGCTTGATACCTTAAGCACTACAGCAAATAGATCTCTCTTGATCCACTGTACCTTCTCAGAATTTCATTGTGAATCCTTTAATTCCATTTATCAGATGGACTGTGGGGTTTTGTTTTTTTCTGGATACAAAATAAAAAGTATGAATAATATATACAGCTCCATGTCACATATTGCAATGTTTTTTAGTCCAACAAAATATATAACATCTTATAAAATATATAATACAGTATGTGTGTGCTGAGAGCCAGCTTGTGTGTGAGAGCCAGGAAGAAGGCAATAACAAACCAGTTCTTAAATCTTGTTACCCCCTCCCCCAAAAAATACCAAACTGCAGGGGCTTCTCCAGGCAGTTGCCATGGGTTCTCAGCTCTTTCAGATCAATAAGGGTAGGAAACCAATTCCATATAGACCAGTATTATTTTTATTGTAAACCTATAGTAATAGAATCTTGCAAATCTGAATGTGCTTCCCATCTCTCTCCCTTTATTTTTGTATGAACCAGGAAACCGTTTCATCTGCTCGTTTATTTATTTATTTATTGGTTCGATTTATATGCCGCCCTTCTCCGGAGACTCAGGGCGGCTTATAATGCGTTAAGCAATAGTCTTCATACTTTTGTATATACCTGCTTAGTAGGACTTTCGGCCCCCCCCAAGCGGTGTTCTTTTTTATACAAAGTCAGCTTATTGCCCCCACAATCCGGGTCCTCATTTTACCTACCTCGAAAGGATGGAAGGCTGAGTCAGCCTTGAGCCTGGTGAGATTCGAACTTGCAGTAATTGCAGGCAGCTGGTGCTACTTAACAGCACTTTAGTCTGCTGCGCCACCAAGTTCTCTTGGTATCAGCAATTCCTTCTATCCCTGAAGGCTTTCAGCCCTCTACAGGAGTCAACATTGACTCAAATTTGCATATACACATACGTGTATACACACGTGCACATATTCACCCACCCACCAATAAACAGAGCTTTCTTTCAGTGTTTTGAAATGTACATGCATCTTTTTTTATGGACAGAAATCTTGATGTACATACTATTCCTAAATCATGAAATTCTTTTCATGAAATTGGAGAAAAAATGTTCACC